TCGGAAATGACACCTTCACGGTGGAATTGGTGTCGATAAACATGCTCCAAGCGCTGGAATAGGATCTCTGCACAGCGTAGCGCAGAGGACACCAGGCTCGGGTGGTCCTTCTGTGAAAGGATGGCCGCTAAGAACGACGCATATGGGACCGTCCGTAATGCCTCTTCAATCAGGCTGGCATCTAGGTTATGCAGCATCTTGTGCTGAGCGGTCAGGACCTTTTGGCGCACCTCTAGGTTAACAGTACTAGAGTAAGCATCGGTCAAGGTTGGTAGCAAGATCATCGCGAAGCGCTTCAGTTCCGTCTTGCAATCCACAAGCAAGGAGCGCCGTTTCTCTTCCGATTCCTTGGCTTTGGGTGATTTCGGCTGGCGAGCAGCATCGCCCTCAGCAGGCAAGCTAGCCAAACTATCTGCCGAGAGAAAGAACCGATTCGGCGCACCCGGTAAGAGCTCACATATAACATTGAGAGTTTCGAAGACCTGTTCGCGGGGGCGATGAATAAGCGCTTGCATAACAAGAACACTGTCCATCTTGACAGCGGTGTCCTCTAGGTTCGCCGGCGGCGATACTCCCGTCAGAATCTGATAGAGAGTGTCGACCACGTCCATCTTGAGCAATTCAACGGACAGTCTCGGACTCGCTTTCGACGTGATGGCCAACACGCGGAGGAACTGTGTATGAATGTGCGGCCCGATGAGATTGGTAGTGCCGGGCAACAGCAGCCGAAGCACAGCCTTAAGCATGGCAGGCTCGATGAGCTCTTCCAGCTTCTCTGGCTTATGCTTAAAGCTCTCAACGATGCGAGAGACACATAGACAGCCCTGCTCGACAACCTTGGGATCGTTGCTGGCGAGAACATTGAGCAGAGTCGGCATGACATCTCTAACCACTGGGAACGAATCGTGAGGAAGGTTGCGGCAGCAATTAGCGGCTGTTGTGACTGCCGTACGCTGGGTGCTAGTTGGGAAGAAATCAAGATATGTCAAGCAAGCAGTTAAGCCCCCTTCGCGAACGATAGACGCGGGAAAATCCACTGATATTTTCGCCAGAGTCTGCAGCGACTAGTTAGCCTGCCCACCCAAACAGGGGCATACGGATGGCAAGAATCAAGGAATGACTTACGCTGAGAGCTTGCTCAGCCAAATCGATGAACTGAATGTCCAGCAGCTTCTGGCAAAGGACAGGGACAGCTCCTCCGTAAACAACGTTGGCCACGGAGCCACGTAAGGCCTCCATCAAATTGGCCAAGCAGCGACATGCGAGAAGCATGATCTCCGGGTTTTCCTCACCGAAATCGCTTGGCTGCATCAAGGCGACCAATTCCTTTACATACGGATCTGGGGAAAACTGGCCGGAAAGATTATCCTCATTTGATACAAGTAGTAGATCAGAGAGCTCCTGCAGAGCGATCAGCTGAATGGACGGGTCATCCTTCATTCTGAGGTTGCAAAGAATATCTCGCAAACGCGAAGACATGCCCGACATCATGCCGCTCAAAGCACGGAGGGTGCTTTGCAGACCCAAGGGGCTCCGCGACCCAAACAAACTGTTGTGGAAAAGGTCCCCGTCATCCTCGTCGTCATCATCATCCAGACCAGAGGGGATGGTTCCCTCGTGACTTTCACTTGGAGGAGAAGAATCCCGTTCTTCGCTTAGTTCTTGATCCTCCATCTCCTCTTCCGCCTCCTTCATAATGGTATCGGGACTGGCTCTGGAAGGGCGCTTCTTTTGTCGACGAGGCGATGGCTGAGCTGCTGAAGCATTATCTATCGCAAGAGTCAGTTCGTTCTATCCACGGAGGCGCAGACATGTGCCTCCCTGGGTTGGAGAACTTCTCCACCCGGCCGTTCCAGTCTCACCTTGTGACACCTTCCCGCTCCTGCTTGATTTCCGTCTAGACGCCGGAGGGGAGGCCTGATTCCTTGATGAATCCTCGGCAGGGTGTGATGAAGGACTGAAATCATGATACAGTCAGCCCGCATACTCTCAAGATCCCTATCGTAACTTACCCAGATTGGGACATCGCTGGACGATTGCGAGTACCGCGACGGGTGGTTGCAGGAGACTGTGCCGCTCGAGGGGGAGTTGCACGTCGCTGTCGCTTGGCTTTTCGGGGAGGGGAGGAGGGATTTGATTGTTCCGGGGCGTCTACCGATCGATCACGTCGCGCAGGGGCCTTTCGCTTCCGGTTTGAAGCCGAACCAGCGGCCGCGTTCGCAGGAGAGGGACCAGAGTCGGTAGACGGAAGAGAGTCTGCAGCTACTCTCGCGGCGGAGCGAGTGATTCTGGAGGACATGAGAAAACGTTCACTTCCAGGATGTGGGTGGGACAGAGGTGGAGAGTGCCGTGTGTGCGATCAAAATGAAGATGAAAGTAGAAGAACAGCTTGTAGTGTGATGAGGGATTTCCCACCCGACCCAGATAGCAAACAATTATGACGGTGATAGTTCCCGTCGAGTACGCAGCTGGTGGGTAGAGCTCTCCATCCACCCAGGCAGTTGGACAGGCCTGTAGGGAACGGGCTCTTGCGGAGGTACCACGAAAAAGGGGAAGGAATCCAAGATCAGGTCACAGGGCACAGGGCCAAAGAGTGAAGGGAAAAGAGATCAAGTATGTACCTAGCGGCAGTGGCGGAAGGTCCAGCAGAGGTTGGCTGAGTGGAAGAGTCCTCAAGAGGGTCCTGGCGGTGAGCACTGGGCCTTTGTCTGGCCATATGTCGATTGCTAACAAGAGCTAGATAAGGAGGGCTCGCTCGTCACTTGTCACCGTTAACCCGCCATCCGTTACCCTAGAGAGTGTTGACCAAGCGTGGGTAGAATGGCGAATTGGGTTCCGTCGACGATCCGGGGGAGGGTTGTAGCTGAGGGACGGCCGATCGGGGGAGGACGTGAAGGGGGCGATACTTGAGAGAACAAAGGTGTTCACTAGTAACAAAGGAGTGATCAATTAATAATATATACCAGAAAGTGCAGATGATCGTAAGGGTCGTTGTTGAGAACAGAGGAACGTGAATCGGGGTAAAATGGAAGTGGTGGTGGATGAGGTGATGGTGAAGGACGGAGTTTGGGGGGGGGGAAGATGATTGACGTGGTTGGCGGTGGTGAGTGACGCCGGCCTGAGGAAGCCAGTCCGGAAGGCGTCAGACAGCCAAAGTGCAGCTTCAACCACTATCTACCACCACTAGAGAGGTTACGGCATTTTCCTATATAAAGCCCCAACTGTTGGGGTTTTTGGTGCGGAATAAACCACAATTTAACCTGCACTTTTTATAAATCGTTCACCTGGACCAACGCGGTCAACAGGGTCTGACCTCTCCATGTACTCTTGTGTCCAGTAGTTGACTATCTGCAGTAGAAGCTGAATAATAACATGACTGGTTTGGATGGATTTTCATCCCAGGAACCAAGGACCAAAGGGCTAGAATAGCTGTATAGATCGGTAGTCTTCATATTAATCTGCTACAGCCCCGCTAAATGTATATGGTTTCTTCAATAGCCATCAACTATGTCGGTAGTTGATGTAGTCTGTGGTCGGACTTGAACGGGCAAATGCATATCCCGCTTTGGGCCATCTCCTACTACTAGTAGTCATAGTAATGTTGCAATCCACAGACCTTGGGAGGTTACCACTGAGGTGTCATCCCAAGTCTTCAGCATTACCTACGATCACCACATTCACATGAAATCCATACTGTAGATGGGTAGCGTGACAGGCCCCTTGCTGATACTCCTTGATACTATTTATAAGTTATAATTGGCTACCTGAGGGGCAGTGATAATCACAATAAACATACCCATCTGGTACTTGTGTATGATATGAGATAACATAGCAGATAGGCAAACAGACCACTTGGCTTCAAGCCTCCTCCTGGTCGATGCAGAGAGCTGGCAAATCTACTGGGTAAGTACCTTGGTGTCGCACCATACTGCCATGATCTGCATTTTTCCCTATCAGAGCATCACATCTGTGACATTCCACCCAGTGCAGAACTGCAGATGACTGCATCTGCGCGGGGAGTTCATTGAATCTTATCGCGTGCGTGCCTCGGATTCATTACCCGGTCGGATATGTGAACAGCTTTAATTCCGGTGTTCCACGGTTAATTCACGATGCATGCAAGAGTTGAGGAGATGATAGTTATGCCTAATGGAGCGATAGACAGCGCCGTAACGGCTATAGCGTCGGGCTGGTCTCCACCTTAACGACCTAGATTCTTTTGGGAAAATCTTGCGGCAAGACAGGGTAATTCTGCCCGTGTATGGAGTAGATAGGCGAAGCAGTTGTTCCCGAACCATGCGGAGTGAGTGGATGTCGCCAGGGGGATGGTGACTCACTTCATTTCAATCAATTGGGGGATGTCTGCCAACAACTGTTATAGGAAGTGTGGATTGGAGATGACTGGCTTGGGAGAGGAGAATCCTGCAGGGAGGCTAATTCAAGGGATGCCTTCCAGACCGGCCCTTGAGGATTAGAATAGTGAAACAGGATGGATGACAGACATCAAGTACCCCCCTCACAGGGCTGTTGTGCTGGGCCCGATCGATGGAGAGATAGATAGCCGGTTACCGGGTATGTGGGTAATATGTGACGGACATATACCACTTTGGGAGAATGGCAAGACAGGGTGCCCTTCTCATAATTATGTAGATTGTAGAGTCAAACACTCCATATTAGCTAGGTGGGAGATTGGCAGCCTGCTAGGCACACCATGATTGCCTGCGCGTCCAGGATGCGGGACAATACTATAAGTAAGTAAGATGGGGCTCGGTGGTAAATGCTCGATACGGTGAAATTGATGATGTGATCGCGCCCCGAGGTACACCGAACATCCGTCTTGGTCGTTTTTTCTTCCCCGCCCGCCTCTTGCATTTCCCCCACGCTGACTAACCCCCCTGCGCCCGCATCCCATCCTTTTACCGGCGAACTCAAATCTCATCCATCGTCCATATTATCTCTCTTCGCCATTCCATCCCACCCGATCTCTCTTCCGTCTGTCTCCGTCTCAATCTTCCAACCAATTTCCATCGATTTTGGGCCAGATTTGGTCCCTCCCAGCCTTTCCCACCACCCTGGGACACCATTCTGCCTCTGCCTCTCATCTGCAACCATGACCGACGCAATCAGTGACGATGTCCACCGGCGATCCTCGCCTTTGCCTCCGGCTCCGATGGACGACTACGCCTTCCCGGAGCTTCGTCTGAAGCGCACAATGGACGACCCCGAAAAGACACCTCTCCTCTTGGTGGCTTGTGGCTCCTTCTCACCCATCACCTACCTGCACCTGCGCATGTTCGAAATGGCCGCCGATTACGTCAAATTCAGCACGGACTTTGAACTGGTCGGGGGTTACCTATCCCCTGTGTCTGACGCCTATCGGAAGGCCGGTCTGGCTAGCGCTGAACATCGGTAAGACATCTTTGTCCCACCCTGCCATCTTACCAACCGTACATTCCGCACCCCGCCTTCGTCCATGCGCTAACTGCAATGATTCGGATAGTGTCGCTATGTGCCAACTCGCCGTCGATCAGACCTCCGACTGGCTGATGGTTGATACGTGGGAACCGATGCAGAAGGAGTACCAACCGACAGCCGTGGTGTTGGACCATTTTGATCATGAGATCAACACTGTACGACAGGGCATCGAGGCCGGTAATGGTACTCGCAAGCCCATCCAGATTGCTCTGCTGGCAGGTGCAGATCTGGTCCATACCATGTCAACCCCTGGAGTCTGGAGCGAAAAGGATCTTGACCACATTCTCGGAAAATACGGCGTATGTTTCTTGCTACTTTTCCTCTCAATTCCTGGGATCTCCGCTAATAATCTTCCCAGACTTTCATCGTGGAACGCACCGGAACCGACATTGACGAAGCGCTCGCTGCCCTGCAAACGTGGAAGAAAAACATCCATGTCATTCAACAACTTATCCAAAATGACGTCAGCAGCACCAAGATCCGTCTGTTCCTGAGACGTGACATGAGCGTCCGATACCTGATCCCCGTCCCTGTCATTCATTACATCGAACAACACAACCTCTACAAGGACGATAGCACGGCATCAACCGACAAGGGCAAAGGCCGACAAGAACCCGGATCGTCGGGGTGAATCGCCTTCCGGTGATTTCCACTCCCCGCTTTGAAACGAACTGTCCGAGTCGTCCCGCTTTCACCACCACAGGAAGACTCGAGCACAGGCAGAAGAGAGAGAGAGAGAGAACACATGGGCATCCATTGTAACAGAGTCAGCCCCGGTCGTCTCATGAACCCATTGAGATACCTACTTCAAAGACCGCGCGGGATATCTCGGCCCGGTGCCAGAGTCATTATCACATCCCCCGCTGTAACATAGACATCTTCTCTTTCTCTCTCTCTTCCTTCGTCATTTTGTTACCCTGCCTCTTTCAAAATGTGCTTGACAAACCACTCCAGTGACATCCGCGCCCCTTGGATTCCGACCGGGCACGGATATTACGGTGAAGCGGGACGTGAACTGCCCCCTTCCTTATTCCCCACCTATAATGGTGGACGTCGGTTTCCAAAAAACGAAGAACTCAAGTCATGTTTCGATGCTATGTCCTTTTGATTATATCGGGCGTTCCGCAGTGTTACGAGTAATGCGTTGAAGATACCATAGATTAATATTCTGCCTCCGTCCTTCTTTTTCCGGCCTGCTTTTTGTGTGCTGCTATCATGTCCCCACGATGATGTTTATACCCTGTTTATCTTGCTTCTGGCTCTTTTGAGATATGTGTACCGATACGTTAGATGATTACCTACAAAAGATGACGGTAGATTTAGACTTGAAATCGGACAACCAAACAACTTACTAAAGAAAACTTTCTTTTGCTGTCATGATCGGAGTGATCGGGTATCTAGTGCTAACTAGTAAGAATAATGAGTCTCTTCTATACTCAATCCAAATGGACACGGAGTTATTGAAGTTGTATGTATGAAGGTGGGTATGGACATCAACAGGGTTCCCCACAAGAATAGGAGTAATATGTAAGTGAAAAGTATAGACAACCCGAAAAGTCGAAGATTGAAAACATGCTGAGGTTGCAACACAACGACATACCCCACCAGCAGACAAACCCATTTCAGGTAGGGGATACATGTCCCCAAAGCTATCTATAGTGGTTGAAACGGAATATTTATAAGACAAAAAGGCAAAAGGACACATAAAAATCAGGCATGAGTTCATATACATCATCAGGAGTTTCAGAGTGGGGAGGGGATATAAATATGTTTTAGTCATCACAATCATTCCATAGATCGTCGGCTTCTATGACCCCGAGACAGTGGTCGGGGTTGGTATCGTCCATGACGGCTACCACGGTCACGGGGGTGCCTGAGGATGCACCGGCCTCGGAGACCAGCCGGCGCGCGTCATCAATGGTGCTCGAGCTCGTAAGGCGGAACCAGTCCTTGCGGGAGACTCCGAAAGGTAGACCTAGTTCAGTGAAGGCAGAAACATGCATATCTACATAGTTGCTCTGGGAAACGAAGCGGAGATGCCTTGGGGGCACGATTTCGGACGGTGAGAGATGAACCCATGACTTGGCGTTGGGGTGCTGGATAGCAGTGAGGAGAATGTCCAGAAGACGGATTTTACCCGAGGCCGACACCCTGGGAATTTGATCGAGTGACACGAGCATGTCACGGACGAGTGGACGCTGATTGGGTTTGCCGTCTGACTGCGGGAATGAGTTCGTGGTCTGTTGGGCTGGAATATAGTCTGATGGGGCGGCAGAACTTGATGCGGACGACATGCTCATAGGCGTCAAAGCCATGGACGCAGCGCCGATAGCCCCGCCAGGATGGAAGCCCTTGAAAATCTCCGCTGGGCCTCTGCCAGGAGCTGTATGTAGCCGCCGAGCCGTAGCAATAGCCAATGCATCTCCCAGCGATAAGGCTACCGTGGTGGACGAGGTCGGGGCACATACGCCGATCGAGGTCTCTTCATCCTCGTGGATCGGTGCTGGCAAGAGGATCCCCATATTCGAGGGGTGGAAAGAAAGCAGAGGGCAAGTCGACGAGACCATATGAGAAGTAATGGCGATAACCGTGACGGTTGAAGGAATGTGAGGGAGCATGAGCAGAAGCTCCGGTGTGCGACCCGAGAAAGAGATTAACAATAGTGTATCATGCTGGTGCATCCAAATTCAGTCAGCATGTGGTTCTCCCTCAAACATAGGCCAGGCCAGGACATTCTTACCGGTCGTATCATGCCCAGGTCGCCGTGCAAGGCTTCCGTGGGGTGCAAAAAGGCACTGTAGATCCCCATACTATTCATGGTGGCTTCCAGCTTCTGAGCGATCTTGCCACTCTTGCCGACACCGCAGCAGACCAGTTTCCCGCCATGCTTGATGGTGCGCACGATCTGAGCCACCGCGCGCGCGAGATTATCTTGAGCCAACGGATCGGTCTGGTAGATGTGCTCCAGATGCGCCAGAGCGGCGCGCTCCGCCGCGATAACCTGCAGGGCTGAAGCCACGGGCGCGGTGTCCTTGGTTCCCATTAGCGGGACTTCGGAGGGATCTGGAGGAGTCATCGGAAGGAGGAAATCATCGTGGAGGGAGGGGTTGGACTCCGGGAGGGGCATGGCGGGCGACAGCGGGATCGCGAATGGCTGCTTCAGGTGCCGCATGGTCATGAAACCATTCTGTGGTGGGGAAGAGAAAGAGAGGGAAAGAGAGTGAGACGGCGCCTTTCTCCCAGGAGGTAAGCCTGGGAAGAAAGATCCCGGACGCGAACCTGGAGACGCAGTTGAGGAGGGGAAAGGAGGAGAAATCCGATGGTGGGGGGCAAAACAGAAACAAAAAAAGTGGAGGGGGAGGGGAGGAAGAGAGGAGGGAAGGGAAAGTCCGGGTGGCTGATTTTGGTGATAGGATTATCTAGACTACTACGGATGTAGTACTAGAGATAAAGAAAAGTTGCCTCGGATCGGATGTCCTTCTCCAATCCGCTTGCTAGAGCTGACCACCTCCCCGAACGATTAGAAATGAAATCTGTTCTTCCTTTTGCACCACCTTCTAGATCCCGATGCATGCATCCTTCTACGCTTTTCTAAGTTCTAACCCCTACTTAGTCGGTCTCCGCCCGGCCATTCGGAATCCGCCATCACACCATCCGCAACGCTGCTGATGTCTTGCAGATCCATTCCCCGCTACCGTTCCGGACACGCTCAGTTGTCTTCCATGTCAATATTTGACTATCAATATTATTACAGTGGCGAAAAGATAATGCTAGTGTACACTGTCTGAAACAATTCATCCATCCAATCCTTTCAATTGCCCCTCTTAAGCCCGGTTAAGCGGCTTGATACCCTTGTGGATAGCGGCAATTCCCCCAGTCAGATTCTCGAAGCCACGTCCCGGGATCATGAAGCCAGCCTTCTGGATCATGCCGCGGAATTCCTCCTGGCTAGGGAACTGCTCAATACTCTCCACCAAGTACTGGTAGCTGTCGCGATCACCGGCCACCAGCTGACCAATCATGGGAATGGCGCTGAAACTCCACTGCTTGTAGACCGCATTGAACAGGGCATTGTCGACCTTGCTGAATTCCATGCAGGCAAACACACCACCGGGCTTCAGCACACGGAACGCTTCGTTCAGGGCTGCCTGCTTGTCCGTGAAGTTGCGGATACCGAATACCACAGTGTAGAGGTCCACCGAGTTATCCGGAATGGAAGGCATGGACTGCGCATTGCCCTGCATGAACGACAGTCGATTTGTGTTGTAGTAAGGGGTCTGCACGCTGCGCTTCTGACCCTCCGCCAGCATGTCCGCGTTGATATCGGCGATCGTTACGCGGGTCTCGTGGTCATTGTTGATGTTCGTCGCGTGGTCCAGCATGCGAAACGCGATATCGCCCGTCCCGCCGGCGATATCGAGAATGTTCCAACCACGGCCGGCCGTATCGTGTTCGCGAGAGGGAAGTGCGGATCCGGGGTTGAGAGAGCGGACAAAGTGATCTTTCCACAGGCGGTGGATGCCCAGCGACATCATGTCATTCATCACATCGTAGGACGAGGCAACGGAGCTAAAGACGGCTCCAACTAGACATTGACACAAGCCTTAGTACATACTTTCTTTCTTCAAGTATATCGATGCAAATTAAATCCAGATAAACCTACCCAAAGACTCCTTCTGCGCTTCAGGAACATTTTGGAAGCCGAAATGGGTCATGCGATCATCCTGGTTGACCTTGGGCGGATCCTGGGCACGTCGTGTGCAGGAGAAACAGCGGTATGATGTCTCCGGGACGATAAATCGTCTCCGGGCTTGCAATTGGAGGCTCCTCCAGACGGTGCGGGACGACATGATGGCTGGACTGAGGTGAGGTTGGATGAACGGTTGGTCGGCGGAAAGAAGAACGAGAATCCCAAATGCGGAAGCCGTACTGGATTCCGGATCCTCAGGCACCCGCCCGGCCTTTTTTTCCCCAACTCTTCCGCCGGCTCCACTTTCACTTATCGAGCACCTACTATCTAAATGCCCAACTACGCCTTCAAGTATACAAATAGGAAGAGTTCCTCTTGTGCGCTATAAGGGGTATAATTCGCCAAATCCAACACTTTACAATTGATCTAGCAGAGGAAATCGCATCACAACTAGGTATCCTTCGACAGATGAGCAGGAAGCTGCAATCCCTTCATAAGCCACTCATCAAATATCAGTTCTCCGGTAGCTGGCCTGTCCTTTGGGTCCCATGTTAATGCCCTCCGCATAAGTTTTAAGAATGCTTCCTTCTCAGGTCCTTGAATATCAGCCGCCCGTTCCTCAAATGTCATGCTCGGCACCGGCGCAAGCTCCTTCCATTTGCCTGATTGTATATATTAGCCGGGCTTCAATGTCAAATAGCTGGTTCAGTTGGCAACATACTATTCTCATCCCATAATACCGAGCCTACTTTGCTTCGCTTAACAAAGTCGGTGGGAGGTGGTCCCATAATCGCAACCATTTCCGCAAGATGGACTCGATCATCAAATATACCATCATTGTTTCTGCCGTCGAATAGTGTTCGGGTACAGACCATATCCCAGGCCTACATGGAAGTTAGTATGAGCTACATGAAGGGTGGACTTCGATAAGCATCATATCTTACCATCAGGGCAATGCTCCACACATCCACTTTGCTTTCCCAGTTCATCTTTAGTACCACCTCGGGAGCCCTGTAAATATTTGGCATGATATCGTCGTCATGCTCATCTTCACTGAATCGAGCTTCTCCAAAGTCACTGAGCAATGGTAATTCATTTCCGGGGACAACAATATGGCTGGTGTAGATTGTGCGCTCAGGGCCGAGTTTTTTCCTAGGCGAAGGGGCCTCAATCTCTGCGTCTTCGAGACCGGAGAAATTCTTGGGATCTCCGGGAAGTAGGAGATTCTTCAATGTAGATCTGCATACTGGTCAGTAACGGAAGGAAAAAAAGAACTGTATGATCGATTGCGTAGCATTTTACCGGTGTGTATGACCTTCGCCTCAGTATGCAGAAAATCAACTATACCCAGCACTTGCCGCAGGCAAGGCTTCAAAGCGTCGAGGTTCATCACCCTCCCCGGAAAGAAGCACAAGAATTGGTCGACACTCAGTCCGAGCGGTTGATGTACAAGACACATGTGACGACCATGGGGACCTTCTAAAAAAAAGTGATCCCATAGTTGACGAATGAGATTCTTTCCGGCATGGTCTGTTTCAACTGCGTTTATGCGTTCGTATACGGCGAGTTCGTTGCTATTCTTCATAGTACCAGAAACATAGATCTTCAAAGTGACATGCTTGGAATTACTGAGGCCACACGTTTAGCAAAGGGTCCCGAAGCTGGAAGTATCGACTAGACTGAAAAGAATTACCTTAAATCGCGACCGAGCCAGACGGTAGATGTGACGCCATAGCCTAATTTGGCAACGACTTGATATCGGCCATCCAGAACTTCCCCGAGGCGGACGGGGTAGTATGTCTTGACATCGTAAGTCGGTAGAGTCTCTTCCTCAACCTCTTTTGTTAGATCAATGACCTCGGATCCTGATGTAGGAAATACGCGTTGTATGGTTGGGTTTGTAGACGCGATCGTGGATGTTGGTCTGCATTTGATTGGATGAGACGATCTAGGTAGGGCTCTATAGCGCAAAGGTAGTAGATTACGTGAGGATATGGAAATGCGGCTTGCGCGTATATTTGATACTAGGCGAGTACGTGACTGAGGCCGAAACATTTCTGGTCGTTGTTGATAATGGCAGAGATTCAAGATGCCTTGGGCTCAGGGATCAGGCGGCCAGTTCAGGCAGCCAGACATCCACATGCTTGGCGGCTGCCAATCACCTTTTCTGTCAGCCATTCTTCATCGCATTGCCACAGATGCCGATAATGACTTATCATCTGATACTATCAACTGAGATGCACTTGCTTGTTATTGAGATGGTACTGGGCACCGCTGCAGTTATTGGAAGCATCGCCTAGTTCATTAGGCTTCTAGGAAGATTTGAAGTTATTCCTATAATATTGTCCTTGTTAAGCTTCATGGTGACCACGACTTAGCTTGATCAATAGATTCTGCTATATCTTCAGCAGGCATAACGAAGGATTTAGAACGACACCCAAAATGTAACATGATAACACCAACTACTTTGGCACATTTAGTCAACAACCTACGTTGGTAGTGGCTTCTATGATGGACATCAGGTGACGGACAAGATAAACAACACCAGTTTCAGACTCCTGTAGCTAGCTAAGGTGACTTAGCCCCAGAAATTTGGAGGAAATCGGATGGGTACATCATTCTCTGAATGGAAAGAAACATTCGTAAGTATCCGACAAGCAGGCAGAGAAGCCAGGAATATTGAATGAAAGACCAGACTCACCTCAAAGATAGGTCTTCGGAAATAACTGCCTTTGAGATGTTTCATTGTGACGCCACCTTTAGAACATTAGATGGCATATTATTTGGCCTGCGGAAATGAGCTGTTGACCTACCTTTCCACTCCGAGAAAACGGATATCATAGGAAAGAGATCTGGATCATCCTTAAGGCGTCGTACAAATTTCGAAGTCTTTTTGCTTGTTCCGATTTGGTAGATCATAAATATCACAGCTGCAGATTTATCAATTAAAAGGATGGGAAAGAGAGGGTGTGCAGAACATTACGTACTGCGACGGGGGTATCCAGCGAGTTCTAGCTTCCTGCCGCATTCGATGATAGCTTTCACAAATTCAGATTCAGCTCTAGACTCGGGATAACTGCCAATGGTAATAATTATGAGCAGCGGCCTGTCAAGTCTCTGAGAACTGACTTTGCTGTAGACTAGCGGCTCGAGAATCCTAGATCTTAGGTTTGTGCCAATTGCAGTGTTGCCACCGGGACCCAATGGCGCGGAATCCAAGATCTTCTTCACCTGGTCAACTGCGAGGTTAGGGAATATATTAACCTCACAATTAACAAAACGTAGCCCAACGCCTCTACCCGCAGGGAGCAGTTGGGTGGTGACATTGGCCAACTGCTTGACGAGTTCTTTCTGGACATCCCAACGATTTTCGCGTCTCATCTCTGAGCTATCATCTAGAAATGGTCCCCGGAGTTAAGCAAGCTAGATGAGCGATCGAAACTGGCAAAACTCACCGCAGTAAAACACTTGCTGGTACATGGACGTCTTGACTGTCAAGGCCATAGGTTTTTCATAGTGGGCCTTCAACCCGTGGCCGGAATACATATTCTCAGCCTTCTTCCATAAGTACACCAGGAAACCCTTTTTCGATTTATCAGAGAAGAATCGTCGAAGGAATGCATCACACCTTAACATATTATCAATGTGTTTCACCAAATCAATATTAGTTTCCACCAATTCCGCCAACTCGGCCTCAGTTTCTGCTGCCCATCCTCCAGTCTGATACAGAAGTAGACCATATCCAGTCTCCAACACTGTTTGATGCCTACCGTCTAATTTCCTTTCAAGTGACCGTCTGCGTTCCGACAACATGGCTCTCCGTTGCCTAATTCCCTCCGCCCGGGTACTGGCATTTGCTGTATCCTGTGTCGCTTTGCTGATCGTGTTGAGTAGCCGGGATTTCAGCGCATTGAACCTTTCTATTTCCCCTTCCACGTCATTCAAGCCTGCCTTGGCAATTTTCAAGGAGGAGTTTATATCCCATTCATGCTGGTTCAGATTGTCTGTTTCGTGGCGCAATTCATCTTCCTCTTCTATGACGCCCTCCACTTCAAGCTTGAATGTTAGTACTTCTAACTCGAATGTGGCATTAATGGTGACACTGGGCGGACTCGCCGTGGCGGCTAATATCACCACAAATATCTTCTGCATGTTGTCTCGTTCCACGCTTGCCTGGATATTGAGCGTGCCGTCACTGGCACTTTGTCTACCGAATGCTTCTTTTCTTATAGAGCCGGATCTCTGGGCCAGATCTTGGAGGGATGTGGCTCTGGAAGATATCATCATGTGACATCGAGCCTGCGCTTGGGAGCCCTGCGTATCATACTCGAGCAGCACCAGGAAGTCGCTGGAGTCTTCACCTCCGGAGCGGAACCGGGTCCATAGCTTTTGGACAGCATGATCAGCCGGGTCACTTGATGTCGTAATAATAGACCGATCTTGCAACCAGCGATCTGACGGTTCGACTTCAATAAGTTCCAACCCTGCTTCGATAGGGTCCTCAACAAAGAAATCATTGTTATAGCTAACTGTTCGCTGTGTTTTCTTATGCCGATCGATCAGAATATGGACCGGCTGAGCCGGTGTCTTGGTCGCAATTGAGTCGTAAATAACTGCACAATGATCTTGTGGCCTAAGGTAGTATTCACCCGACTGGCTTTTCGAAAGCGGGATTGCTACCAAAGTTTCCGGATTCAACAGACCGCAGTTAAGCAAGCCAAAAAGCCCATTTTTGTCTTCGTGAAGGGACAGATTGACTCGAACCAAGCCCCCTTCAATCTGGAACGTGCATGGAGACCTGGTCCCGTTCATACGCGGAACAATATTCTGACAACCTCGAAAGTCCGCGGGGGATGCGGCAAGTACACCGGCTGACAAGGCCTTATTATCGTTTGAATTATACTGATAATGCTCCGGGCTAGAGATACCCCACGCCAGAATCGACTCATCCCTCGAGCTTTTCATGATCTCTTGCTGGAGACGAGTAAACGCTCGATCGGCCCCTTCACCATAGATCATCGGCATAGTCACATCGAAGATTCCAAGAAGGCAATAGGCAATATCTTCCTCCCGTTTTGTGACTCTGTTGGAGGCCCAGGACATACGTTGAGCGATGCTTGCCTCACTTAATCGGGTTCCTTGCAAGAACCGACGCGGTATTCCAAATTTGCGGTCAATAATACCTGATCTGA